TCGCTCATAACCCAAACCTTTTGCTCCGCCTGTTCGCGGATTTTGTAACATTTAAAATAAAATTTGCGCGTTGGCAGTTGCATGTTTTTCTGCAACGCGTGTCGTAGTTTTTCCGCCGGTTACTTCCCTCATAAAATTGTAAAATAAATGTTTCGTGCACTTATTTTACGCGCAAAAGGTGAACGCGAATAGAACAAAATTACGCTTTCACGTTTAGTTTCTCTTTTGCAACAGCGATTCTGTGCGTGGGCAAAATTAACAAGTAAAAAACTATATGATATATATTTGCACTCTAAAGCTGAAGCTCTGCTCGAACGACGCAAATTTTATTTCTAGATGAAAAAATCTTGAAAAAAACAAGATTCTTGTCTTGTAAACAATATTTAATATACATTCGCGTTATCGCGGACAAATTACGGGCTGTTTATAGTTTGCGCGACGTTAATTAATCAGCAAAACGGATTTATTCGAGCATCATTTAGACGTCGGTGCTGTGCTTTGTCAACCGGAATACGTTGAAGAGTAAAGAACGTCCGCCACGGAACGATTTATTTTGATAAGCCTTTCAAAAAGATTTTCCCGCCCTTATTTATCCATCAAATTAACGGACGTTGATTAGAGGGGCAGCATGAAGCGTGATCTAGAAACTCCCATTGACAATTAATCACGTCTACGCCATTTATTACAACATAAAAGGTTTTATAGGATATCATTAGCTCTCATTTATTTACTTTGTAGAGTGCCTTGCAATTAATGAGACTTGATAATTTTCAGAGAGAGATATCAATTTTGATAAATTTTATTTTAGCTAAACACTGCCAAAAATTATTCGTTGCAGGTTTTTCATTTTTAATATCTTTAATTAAATAGTTCAGCATGTAGAGTGCCTTGCAATTAATGAGACTTGATAATTTTCAGAGAGAGATATCAATTTTGATAAATTTTATTTTAGCTAAACACTGCCAAAAATTATTCGTTGCAGGTTTTTCATTTTTAATATCTTTAATTAAATAGTTCAGCATGTAGAGTGCCTTGCAATTAATGAGACTTGATAATTTTCAGAGAGAGATATCAATTTTGATAAATTTTATTTTAGCTAAACACTGCCAAAAATTATTCGTTGCAGGTATTTCATTTTTAATATCTTTAATTAAATATTTCAGCATATAGAGCGCCTTGCAATTAATGAGACTTGATAATTTTCAGAGGAGGATATAAATTTTGATAAATTTTATTTTAGCTAAACACTGCAAAAATTATTTGTTGCAGGTGATTTCACTTTTAATATATCTTCAATTAAATTTTTTTCGACTATAATTTTCTCTCTAATATTTACATGTTCGTTAAAGCAAAAACTTGAGCAATTGAATACAGAATAGAATGTTGCCGCATTTGCTGACAGTTTAATTTTTTTTCAGCGCAAACGCGAAAACACGAAAGCTTAGCCGAAGGCGTTACATGTTCTGCATATTTTATGATATTTGTAATCAGATAATTTCTCTCATTTGTTGAGATAATATTGTCGTAAGAAGCGGATGTAGATCCAATTTGCGAGGGAAAGAGCCCGTAGTGAGAGATGATTTGAATTAGAATTCCAAAGGCTGATGTAAATTATCTCTCCTTCTCTCTTCTTCTCTGCTACTTGGCAAATAATATATATCTGCTGTTCTCCTTATCGGTGCATTCGTTTCCGGGTTTTCGTTGTCTAAACATTTTACGTGTTACACGTTCGCGGCCGTCTCGGGAGTATTTTGTAAGACGAGAAATCCAACTTTGATGAAAAGGTGAAACAAGCCGAGTATCGCGTTTCAGGACGTTACATCATCGCGTTTATTACGTGGATATTGTTCTTCGGCTTATACCCAGAGAGAAATTAATTATCGAGAAAAGAAATCAATTATATGTTCGACGAGAAATTAATTATTCCGATATAGCGCGGAAAAGAAAGGAAGGAGAAAACCATTATTGAAATTTTCCAATTGAGATAAAGAGCTAATTTTGAAGAATTTTTTTCACGACGAGACTAAAGCGAACGTATACGATTAACAAAACGTAATCGGGATGAGAGTGTACTGAATATTTTATTTATTTTTTTAATAAAAGTGTACTGAATTTTTTATTTAGTTTTTTCATAAGAGCGCGCTGAATATTTTATTTAGTTTTTTAAAAAAGAGTATTACTTATTTCTAGAACACGTATCAGTAAAATAGTGTGCCAGTAACTTTTTCATTATAATGATCTCACGCACGCGTGTGCTGTTAGCAAAATGAAGTGAAGCATTGGTAATTTGTAGTGGTCATCCACTATTTAAGAGCAAATTCAGCTGCCCAGCTGCGAACCGCTTGTATCGCGCACATTAATTAACAACAACCCTACTGAACACAGAGAATTACTATGGTCATTCCTACCCGTAGGGATCGTGCCAGAAATTTGGCAGTTATTTCATAAAATAAAATCTCGTATTTCTCGCATTGTGTAGAGACGAAGTAATATATACATGTATATATATATATATATATATATATATATATATATATTGATCACATATGTGACGCGTAAAATCTTTCGATTATTTATACCTCCGAAATTAAATTGCCTTCTCATTCTTTAAATAAATATGAGACTTTAAGTAGAAATTAAAATATTCATTTTCCCGCTTTAATGAAGATTGATTAAACGTCCCGGAATATCGCCCCATTAATGTGAATGTATCGTTTTAAATTGTTATTGATCATTAAATGCGTAATCGAGACGCGGCCGAAACACGATCAGATAAATTTTGAAATTGATAGTTTCATAATCTAAACATCCAATTTCCTGAGCCCTTAAAATTTCTGCTGAAATAACATAAATTTGCCAAATCGTGTGTGTGATAAATAGTGTGCAAATATAATGATTACATGCGATATGATCAGCTCATTTATTTCGCTAATAAGGTATCTATACATTTATTGATTAGAATAAACCAGAATTTCATCTTTTATCGTTTAAAACAAATAATCTAATAATATAGTTAAAGTCTGATTTGTTGTATATAATTGTAATATATATGTCTCACTGAAAAGTTTGAATCGCATATTCCTGCATTTAATAAGAATTTATCTAATAAAAAGAAAAAAATAGAAAAGAAATATTATAAACCGAATATATTAATTACTTTGACTAGTAATTCAAAAGAACTTATTTATAACTCGTTGGGTTCTCAAGAGTAACATGATAATGGATTGTTATGTATTTGTAATCTGATATGCTAAATAGCTAATGGCTTTATTATGATACTATAGCACCAAAATAGCACCACTAATATTATTAGTAGAAATCATGACATTGCGTTATGTGATTAATTTTTATAAAACGCAATAATATCACAACATGACAAAGAAAATTAGATAAATAATATTTCTTCTCTTCTATTCATTTTTCACAAAATAATTATAATTAAATTTATAGATAATTTAAATATTTATTCGTAGAATTTTATCTAATATAAAAAAATGATAAATTTTATAATAGTATATACAGTAAGACATATATATTTCTAAATCTACAATTATTTTCTAAATCTAATATTATTATATACAATAGAAAGGATCATTAACTATTCTACGTTCTATAAAATCGCCCCCTTGTTTCATCATATTTCATTTTCTATCTTATATAAATAATATTTTATTTTATATAATTTAATTTATATAAAATATTATTTTATATAAATTAAAATTTGCAAAAAGAATTAATAAAATACCTGAATTTAAGAAGCTTCTGCAACATATAAAAGAGAGTTGCAAGAGAGTCGAAAAATAATATTTTATATAAATTAAAATTTATTATAATATTCAGTTTGTTTTTCACAAGAATATTTCACAAGAATTTTTGTAAAGTGTCAAATCTTTGTAAATCGGTGTTTTATAAAAGAAGTATAATTTTTGTGAAAAGTCTGAATTTCCAATTTGCGATATATATGTATATATGTGACTTCCCCTTTCGCAAGAAACAACACCGAAATGTTTTTATTGGTTGAAAAGCGGGAAAGAAAAAGGAGCGCAAACAGAGTAGATGAAATCGCTGAGAGAGTATTTCAAGATCCACACGTGCCTTGAGTGCAATAATTATTGTCGGAGACACTGTAGAGACGAGCGTAGCCTAGGGGCAACTTCTACAAAAGTTTGATTTGAGAAGCGGCTCTTAGGTACGTCAAAGTTTTCGGGAAGGCAACTTGTAAGGGGGAAAGAACAATCTTCGAAAAATGTCAGAGAAAGATATCAACCCGCACGTGTCTAGTACGGTCCATACTTGACAAACTTTTCCACGATCGATATATGATTCAGATTTACAAGAAGTAAGAGATGATATTTCCGCAGTTTCGATTTTGATAATGTCAGATCGTAACGTACAATAAATGACAAATATTATTTGATAAAATGCACGTAAATGTACAAAATATTATTATTATTATTATTTTAGATTTTATTTCAGAAGATTGCAATATAAATGCAGGATAAGATTAAAATTTAAGTTGAACTTTTCGTACAGCACAAAATATTAGGAAAATTTCAAAAAATATTTTTATATGATATAATATCAAAACATTTTAAAAAATGGATATAGAAACATTTTAAAAATATTTCCGAATTTTATTTTTTAAGAAATATTTTTAAAAGATTTTAAAAATATTTTGTGCTGTATGGGTTAGCAATGGAACTTATAAATTTTAAAATAATTTTAGTATATTAATATACCTAATTATTCACACAATATTTATAAGGATGTATATTGTTTAAGATTTAATATTCCGTCAATTTTTAATTCGTTTAAAAACTGAAATGCTTTAATAAATAAATATATATGTGAAATAATAATATAAAAAATAATATAAAAGAAATATCAATTCTTTTAATACAATTTCATCATTTCATCGAATTGGTCGAGTTAGGGATATGGTTAGGGATATGCAAAGCAATGAAACCTGTTCATAAAATAGAGTGGAGGTATAAACTCACCGATTTTGACGACCGAGGGTAGAGCGTCGAGCACCGAGGGCAGCTGGAGCAGCTGAAGGACGAAGACAGTGGCTACCAGGCAGCCCAGATTCATAGCTCATCTCGGAAGCCCACCGCCGCGGCCTTTTTCGATGGCCCTTCACACAAACACTACCGCACAAACTATGTTTGCGATGGACTAAGACCCAACGCTCTTACGCATTTATCTGAAAAAAATAAATAAATAAATAAATAAAAATATATATTTGTATTAAATCAATAGATTAAAAATTCTGATTTTGGTACACATAATAATTGATTAAAGATTAATTATAATTAAAATTAATGCTAATTCTGTTTGATATCAAAATTCAACGCTTATATCATTTTATTATCAAATGATTTCGGAGAATAAATTTTAAAATAGTATGTAAATGTAAAACTACGAATATAATATAACTTTTGCCATTTTTTTGTCTATTATTACTATTCAAAATTCATTATTACTCGGTATATTAATTAAAACTTTTCATTGAAATATATATCAGTCAGGGGCAGAATATATTTGCTACATTTGACTTTTGAATGCTAAAAAGAACCGCTTTTGTATCAGGGAATCGAGATTTTGCAATTTCCGATTTATTGAAGAACATAGCTTTTTGCAGACTCTCAGAGAAAGTTAAAAATTTTGCGTAAACGCTTCAAAATCCAATTCAATGGCTACTATTATTGCTCGTCTACTTTTATTGTTTCGATATATTGTCGAAAATTTGAATGTTCATGTTGCATGCCATTTGAGCTTGTAAATTTTTTCCCCTGAAAATGTATCATTCACATCATTTTATGTTTCAAATTTATTTGAGCAAAAGTATATATGTATGTATAATCGAATATCCTATATACGCAAAATATTAAATTATACATATATTTTAAGATTATTACTTGACGTTTAATGTATCATAAAGCTTGTATATATTTTTATCTTTATTTGCAATTCGCTTTTTTTCTGCGCGTTCTCACAATATTCGAATTATATATACACATATTTTAATCATTTAAAAATCAATGAAGGAAGCATTGTATATTTAATATAAAACAATAAAAATAATTAAAAATTAAGTAAGAACAAAAAATTGTAATTATATCCTCTTTGAAAAAAATCCAAAAGTTCCAATATTTTGTTATTGATAATTCGTTGTCGAAATATTTTACACGCGCTAGGTGGGGATATAGTATATATAATTTACGCGATACATTTCACAGCTTTGTTGTCATTTGCACAGTGAAACTCGAGCTAGAAGTAAGCGCTCTATGTATTATTATATTATAATGCGAATTGGGATCACTCTATATAATTGTTATAATTATCAACTTGCACGATCGATTATTTTAATATACTTGTATAATTTCAATAAAATTCCGCGTATGTGTACGCGCATAGCATGTAAAATATTTTGGCAATATTTTTTAGAGAGAGAGAGAGAGGAAGAAAGCAAATGTTTGTTTGTGTAATATCTTTATATCTTTTACAAATACAACCCAATATTTTACGCAAAATTTTATGCAAATGTATTTTGCAATGTGCAAATTACACTTGCAGCCTTTTTATTATACACGTCAGATTACACAATATTGCGTAATTTATATTAATTAAATTGTTACTAATTAATTTTCTAACGCAAAAATATTATTTTTTAATTTACTAAATTATTCATATTTATTGCAAAGTGAAATATATCTGAAGGAATGAGAAATATTATGTGAATATATATTCAATTCACAGAGAGGAAGACGCCAGCCAGAAGTTTTAAAATATCATATTTTTATAAAGCTGTCGATGCAATTTTAGCTATGTTCAGCAATATAAATAATTAAAGCAGATAGTTAGTATGCACGTTGATATTTAATATGTACTGCGCGTTTGATACCGTATAGCGTAATACATATAAAATATGAAATACTTTCATAAACTTCCATAATCAAGAGAATTCAAAATACAGCTATAATATATACTTCTGAATATTTCGCAAATATACTTTTTACTTGAATCTTTCTATTAATAAGTTTTATTAAACATATCAATTTGCTCTAAATTAGTTTTTGTAATTGTATTACAATTTAATTAATATATACATAGTTTTATATTTTATTACAACAGTATAAAAAATTAAACACATCAATGAAACGCATATATGTATGTGATAAAAAGATAAAGCTATGTATCTAGGATACATACGTTAATTAAATTGTAATGTAAAATAATAAAAAATTATCAAAAGAGCAAAGTGGTTATTTCTATGATATTACAACTGTTTAATTATTACTATGATTTTAGGCATTTAAAGCAAGCCTTCAGATTATGTCAATTCTAGCATCTTCCCTCTCTCTCTCGTGACATACTTTTCACGTTTCACGAACAAACCAAGTTATGCGCGTTACGCGCATTATTCTGCAAACTTTGCATTTCGCTTCTACTTGCGCCGCGTTTCTTGCTCTCGTCGTCGCTGTCTCGTAAATCGATAAAATTACGAAATAACCGCGGTGTTTTGTCGCTGATGGCACGCAAGAATGTTGGCAGAAACTTGCCGGCATTATTTGATTTTAATTCAATGTCACGCGATTTCTTCGCGAAAAATGAAGGGAAGGATTCGCGAAACTTTCCGGCTTCCTCTACGTCGCTGCAGTTTTCAAAAGAAACAATGGCGTTTCGCAGTTCGCGATTCGCGATGTCGCGGATTTGCCATATACAGTGGCGAATCGCGCAGACTGGCTGGCGTCTTCCTCCTCTTGTGCGGAGAAATTCCGCGTGTATATATATATATATATATATATATATATATATTTCCCATATCCCTCTTCACTCGACTTTATTACTGAGAGAAGGGACGCGTTTCTTATTTCCACTTTTCCGGCGCGAAGTTTCCGACCTGAGTAATTGCGACTCTTTTATTTGAGGCGCGGTTCGCTTTACAATGTCGTGAAAGAAAGAACGATCCGACGATAATCCCTTGAGAAATACAGCGATAGATAATCCTTTCAGTCGGCAGTCGGTGAATACAAAGTTCGTACAATTTTTTCAATGTAAGAAATTTAAAATCGCATACATTATATATACATTTATTGCAAAAAGTTGGACGCGACTTTTAATCTTTACTATTTTTTTAAATTTTTTATATGTTTATACACGTTTTCCCACAGATAGATATTCAAAGTTTCGAGACGAGAGTTGAAAGAAAATGGAGTTGTAAAAGAATTCTTCTCTTCTTCGTAAGCGAGAAATGTAAGCAGGGTGTCTAGCGGTTAGGGAAAACCGGGTATTGTCAGGGAATTTTATAAATCTGGAATTGTCGGGAACTTTTACTATTTATCTAAATTTTTTTCACATTATTCTACATTTGTCTCAATAATTGAAATTTTTTATTAAATAAATATAGACTTTTCCTTGACTCCCAGCACGCTAATTTTCTGTGTTGTTAAAAATCGATTCATCTACAGCGTGTTCGTTAATTTATATTTTCATCGTCGTGCTATTTCGTGTAAATTATATATTTGGCAAAAATAATACTAATAAAAGTCAGGGAAAAAATAAATTTCTAGTCTTGGAAAATCTGAAAAAGCCAGAGAATTTTTTTCATTAAGTCTGCTGGACACCCTGGTAAGGAATCCAAAGTAAGAGATTATCGTTATCGTAATTAAAACGCAGAGGAAATTAATTCTATTTCCTTCCACCTTTCCGTAGGGGGGAATCGCGACATACTGGCAATTTGTAATCTCGCAATTAGCACGTCGGAGGGTGAAAGGCCGCGAACATCTGGAGGGAAGATATATCGCCGCGCGCGAGAAGAGCTGCTTTGAGGGAAAATGAGCGGGCTGTTATACGAAATTCTTCCGATTCGTTGTACGTCGCGTCCAGGTTGCCTTAATCGCGCCGCTTTATTCGACGCGATAATTCGTCGAGACCATAGAAACGCCTTAATGGCACAGAGGAGAAAGCAGCGGAGGTCAACGCGCGCGCGCATGCGCGCGAGAGAGAGGTGAAGCTGAAGAGGCGATAAAGGGATGAGCGAATAAAGTCGGAATAACAACGCGGTCGGGTGTTTTAAATATATTTTTTTTCGCCGATCCGCGTTTCTGGCCGCCCGCCACCTTTTGTGATCTACGGTCGTCCTAAACCATCTTCGCGATATCGCCGAGTCGCTCTCTCGGGCAGGAAAATAGGAGGAAAACCGGCTAGTGAATCTTCCGGAATTTCTCGTTAACACGGTCATTTCCCTCGTTCTCTCTCTCTCTCTCTCTGTGATAGCCGAAAGCACACGGGGAGAGAAATGCTTGCTAAGCGGGAAGGGATGTGTTTTCTTTTTCTCCTTTCTTGCTTTTTTTTTTTACAGACTTTTCCTCTCCGCTCGTGCTATTTTAAAGCGAATTCATATCGACCGATCCCCGATCTCGCCGAGTAATAGGCGATCCATCATCAATGCTCTCTTCTCTGCACGAGGAAAAACCTCTTTCTGAAATACTTCGCATTCTGTCAGCAGAATATGTAGTTCTTCTCGCTCGCATGCGGGTGAGAATTTTATGGAGGATTCGTGACCGGATGATTACGTCAACCGAGCTGTTTTCACAGATCCTTGTAAAATTGCTCTTTCCTCTCGTCGTAATAAATGTTCGACATATTTAGAAAAAGAGAAAGAAAAAGATTGAAGAAGTAGGGTGCGAAAGAAGTCGTTCTGCGCGAAAACTTAGTCGTATGCGATGTTCGTATGCCAGTTTTCCGGATTTTAGTGGGCTCTCGTTCGCGAGATACGACAGGGAAACTCGATAAAGTGCGCTCCTTTCTTCTCCGTTCCTCCACGATTTCAGGACGCGCCCTATCTTCGATTTATCAGCGCTTGACGCTCTGGATATCGAGACTCTGGTGCGATCATTTCGCCGCGCGCGATGCAATAAAATTTAATCGTCCATATCGACAACGGCGAGTGTGCAAAGCTGGCGGGCGGAAACACGCTCCACTTTAATCCACTCGGTCGTTCAAACGCCGCGAAAAATACATAGATCGCCGTTTACTTGTCCGGCGAATAGAGAGTTAACAACAATCAATATTTATTGCGCGTATAGACGTTAAGAATCCTTTTAAAATGCTCCGAAAACTCTATATGTATATGTACTCAGATTCCCTCAATAATAATTAATTTCGAAAGTGGCGACAGGAAGTTTCCTAATCCTTTAACAAATTTGTCACTATAAGTATACTGACAAATAAATGATCAGGGTGGTAACTAGTTAATTAGTTAAAAGTTAAAAAAAATTGAAAAGTTAATAACGTTTAATTTAGCTTACGATTAGTTAATTTAAAATGTATTAATTTTTAACTTTAACTAGTTATTTTTTACCTTAATCTTATTAACTTTTTTCCTGAGTTAAATTTTTTTATCTCTGAATAATATTATTGTTCTTTTATAAATTATAAACGTATTATTTTTAAATTAAAGTATTATTAATTTTTATGTTTAATTGTATGTTGTCATCAATTGTAATTACAAAAAATATATTTCTATATAAAAATTAAAATTTCTTTGTTACGTTATTATACATTTTAAAATAATCAACAATCAAATTCTAATTTAATATAAAAGTAATATTTTTAAAAATTTACTTTTGATTTAACTTCAGTTAATTTAATCTTAACTTAACTTTAACTGGATTAATTTTTTGTTCATAAAACTTTTAACTTAACTAAATTAATTTTATAAGTAACTAACTTTAACTTAACTTATTGTTAGTTTAAAAAAATCATTAACTTACCCAACCCGGAAACTGATATTAACTAATTCATAAATTATTTAATTAATATTATTATAAGCTAAATGCGCAAGTTGTTTAATCCTATAATATATATGTTTAATTCCTGAAATAATCGTGTTTATTTATTACAATTGTAATCAATAAATAATGATTACACGTAAATAATTTATACACATAAACATGTGTATTAAATGTATTTAACATCATATTATTAGTTTCTTCGATAATGATGAGACCATAAAATCTACAAAAGCGTGTACAAAATACGACAACTAATAATCAAACTTATCACAAATCCTGCAGTTTAACAAATTGTAAATAACTCTAATTATACATTTTGTTCTCGTGCACAATTCAGTATCTCGTGTACGAAAGTTGTTAAATACGATCGGAGAATGAGATGCATGAGCATAATTTGTAAAATTGTCTCCGACATAGCGACAAGTATTATTTAACTTCTCCCGATCAATGCTAAAGCGGTGATTAAATTTATTCGTTCGATATCAAAGCGATAGCATCGATATGGATTATGCATGCGCATAAAATAACACGTAACTTCACGTTCGATTGCAAAATTTCATTAAAAACTACCTTGTCTCATTCGCATATTGTTATTTCTATAACGACGTTAAAATACTTCCCGGAATTCTCTGATTTACTGAAAATTCCGCCGTGAATAATTTACTGAAATTAATTTAACGCGTATAATTTAATTTAATATAATAGACAGGAAATCTAATTAAAAGAATCGAATATTCATTAATCTAGTACGAATCGTACGCTGTTCTAAATCAATCACACTCAATTATATCTGTACTTAGCTATATATACTAAATCTTCTCTTGCATATGTATATAATTATGTACATTATGCAGTATAATAATTAATGCATAGAGAATAATGCATTATTTGCAATTGCTCTTGTAGTTGAATACGAGAAATTTCCATGCACAGAAATTTAAATATATTCCGCAATTATGTCATCAAAATTGTCTTCAATGTTTATCACGCAATTGTAATACTTTGTTACAATCAGTACCAATATAATGATGCGTACAAATGATGATAATTTCTGTTTTTGCTCGCTTTTTTGATATAATTAATATTCAGTTAATGATTATCTTTCCTATAATCGTATAAAATAATACAAACGTTTGTAAATTAACAATTACATTTTTCTCGATATAATTGCAGTAATAATGTAAAATTAAAGCAATATATATATAATAAATTTAAAAAATATAGAAGGTCTTAATGTGTATGTAAAATGATATAATAAATAGAAAACAATTTATCATAGAACTTTATATGGTAGCTATAAGTTGTACAAAAGAAACGAAAAGAAAGTTATTGAAAGACTTGGTTGGCTGACAAGTCACGTGGCGGACAGCAAACTCCAAACTAGGAGGACAATTCGTTTCGGTTCGGGAGGCAGTTATCGATTTCGCCAACGAACCGAACAGAACCGCATCGCGACGAAACTTGCTCACCAAATTGGAATAAATGAATGACGTATATTGTTTTTACCAGCCATAGAAATGTCACAAAAAGACAAGGAGAAGTAATAAAGTTGCTTTCGCGCGACGACTCTCTTGAATTAAAATTTAACAAATTCAATTTCGCGATATTATGTACTCAAGAGAACATAATCATTATTAAATCACATTTCACATTTTCAGGATACACTGTTAATAAATTATATTATTTCAATAAATTTTTCAGAAATTAAATTGTTTTTTTTTGTTTTGTGAAACTATCTTCTTTTAATGAAATAACGAAAAAAAAGTTAAAAAAAAGCAATATTTTTATGTCGAAATATATTAACAATTAATAATTTTTCAATATAAATAAGAAAATTAAAGATTCTATATAATTTATAATTCCATTAAAAAATCAATTTGTTCATTCATGTAATATCTAACTTTATTTGTTTAATACAGTGTATTTTCGATGCAAATAATTTCCAAGCACAACTTCAATGCATACAACTTCAAGTGGCGAGTGGAAAATAGGGTTTGCTAATTATATTCATATATATCAGCATTTTTAAATTATACAGACTCGCCTCGATCGAGATTGTGTAATTGAAAATGCAGATTAATTCGTATTTCCGATCTCTATCGCTTATTTCTTCTTTATAAAAGATTTCAAAATAATTTACTCACATTTTTCGCCGCAATTTTCGGAGCATTCGGGCAATGGCGCTGTTGGCAAAACCTCACGAAACTCTTGTAATATCGTTAGGCTGACGTTTCGCGGGGCACTTGGACATTCGGAAGCGATGATCCTTAGGAATGCCGGTGCGTAGAGACGTGCATCGTCCTCGCACGGCGCGCATAAACATAACCTCTATGGGGGTCGAATCGTAATCATCGCGGAAACGTAAACATACACATCCTATCGTGACAGCGGCCGGCGCGCGACTGCCGCTCGGTCGGTCGGTCGTCGACTCGCGACAACGGCCGAAGACGCCCGAGCTTCGCCGCTCGCGACACGTGCTCGTCGTCTTACTGCGCATGCGCGCGCTCACGTGCTCGAGAGCACGTGAGGAACTGTCATCTGTCAGTGTGCGCCTCGCCGCTGTCGGAGCGAGTCGTAAATATGTGATGGTAATTTTTCTTGTCGTGTTGAGATATTTTACTATTTAATTTTAACAGTTTATTCTTCTTCTATATATTTCTTATTTTATCTAATATTTTGAAATATATAAATATTTTAATATTTTAAATATAAATTTTAATATATAAATATTTTAAGACAGTATTGCATGGTTATACATATATGTATAATATATACACAGATATAAAATATTGATACTTCGTATTCTTATTTTTTATGTGTGTACGTAAAAAAATTGATACTCCCTATTCTTATTTCTAAATAAAACTTATTATAATGTTTTCAATCTAAAAGTAAAAGCTGAATCTTATGCTTTGCTTCTCTTAATGATTATTTTGACATTAAAATAATCATACTTTATACTTTATAATTTCCAATGAATTTATGGTCTCGAGAGAAACTGCACACAATGCAATATGGAACATTAACTTGAACAATTATTAATTTTAACAATTATTAACTTTTAAATCATTCTTATGCATTTACATGTTTCTTGGATATGTATAACGTACAATAAGTTTTTGATTAAATAATCACGTGAAAATTTATTGTAAAACATGTAGAGAAAATATCTTATTTCTGTATATTATTCTTCTCATTTTTGAAAAGTTACATAAAGTTACGCTGCAGAAAAGAATAAAGGAGGCGAAATCGCTATATATTAAGTTCTACCAGCTACCAGCAATTTTAGTACCTTTTTCATGCTTTTCATGCGCAGCTACATGCACCGTAAACTTAAAGGACTTTTATGGCAATTTAGCCGCCGACGAACAGGGATCGTTACTCGCTTTCCGTAAACTTCTTTTCATTATAAAAATTTCACGTGCCTAGACGTGCGTTCCATCTTTTTCACATATAAACGACGATTTTGGAAAGTTGAGATATTAACGATAATAACTTTTACAAACACGACATTCAATAATTAATGTAGAATATTTATTTGCTTCTTTACTAGAAGAAAATTATTAGAAAAGCTTGCAAAACTTTGCAAAAAGTTACACATATAATAGTGATAAGATAGTAAAAACGAGTAAACAAAACTAATTATTATAATTATAATATTTTTCTCGTAGCTGTATTTTATCTAAAATAAAAAATTTATTAAATGAACCAGATGAAAGCTTGTCTTCATATTCAAAATACTTTTAAGATAAATGGATAAGATGCAAAGTATGTACTGCAACAAATGTTAATTAAAATTATTCATAAAGAAACTTCGCTTTATAAAGAAACTGAATAAAATATCAGATTATGTCATCTTTTCAGACATCTTATAATCATCGCACTTTTTGCTTCTTGCTTAATTAGGTTTTGCAAAGAGAAGTAATACTAGCTCTAGTAGTGTAAGCTCTACGTTTCTATAAGAACGTTAGATATCTCGAAGTCTCCATTAATCTAAATACAAAAAAAATATGTCGTAATATGTAAAAGTTTTAAATAGCAACAGGTTTTACGACGAGAACACGAGTTAGTCGAGACACAAACCTTGTGATGGATTGAAATCGAGTTTCCAAGTGCTTGGTTGGAGTTGCAGTCGAACATGGTGCAATAGTTGCTCTATGCATCCGGAGGATGGCGGTATGTTCGATATATAGCTACTTGTTATGTATTTTTTAGGGAAGGGTGAAAGGGGTGAAAGAGCACAATAAACAGATATTTGCTTTAATGCGTTAGAGAGAGAAGCACCGTCATTAATCTTATTAGCATTCACAAATTTTTCCAATTTTTCTATGAAACAATCCAATAAACATGAAATCTACCTAAGAATCTTTATTAATAAATAAAAAATAACGATTTGATCAAACATTATGCACAAAAGCACAAAAACCAAATATATTTGATATTAAATTATAATGAAAAGAATCTCTTAGCTAATTTATATCTGATGTTCTCTCTGATATTTTCCTAATATTTATGCAAACAATTTTTGAGTAACTTTGTAATTAAATTTTATTAAAAACATAAAGTGCTAGTTTCTTTAATGAATAATTATATTTAAATGTCGGAATTAATTCGTTTCATTCAATTTACGAGCGATTCGATTAGAAACATTCTTTGTCAAGTCCGCGAAATAATCTTTCCAATGTGCTGTAAAGAGCTTCGATCATGCAATTCTTGATTGGTCAATATCTGAAATAAAAAAAGCAAACAAGAGAAGTCGCGCGGATCAAGTAATTAATTACGTTCGAACGAATTCGCGCGATTATATCGCAGCGACAACACGAAAATCTCCTCGATTTCCGCACGACTTCTGCGAACGAAATCCGATCGGCAGCATTTTCCCCGGGGAAAACCCATTTCCGACCAACGCGGCATTCCTCTAACTCGTTCGTCATCGATTTCGCGCCGATCGAGATCGGCCCGAGGGGGATGAACTTTCAGCCGCACAAATTAAAACCATTACTAATGGCACCGAGACCCAGGAGCGGGTGAGACTTCCCGCCCTTATCCCGGAGAAATAATTCCTCGGTGCACTCGCCACGACAGCACAGACAGAGGAGAATTACACTTCTCCATGGACGTTGTGGAGAACTTTGAGTGCGGTCAAACGCATCGACAGTGAAAAACGTCGGCGAGAGCCAGCCAGACATGCCAGAGGTATTTCTTATCTTCAGACGTATGACGGTGAAACCAAAGAATTTCACGTTCTGCGTTTGTTGCAGAGTGTCGGAAGCTGAGGAAATATTAGTGAATTACATCCGAGTCGTTTGTGTAAAATAATAATAATTAATTTTTATTTTTAAGTAAAATTAATTAGCATTACAAGGTGTTTCTGAACCTATGTCAGAAATTTTAAGGGGTATTCTAGAGGTTAAAATCAGAAAAAAGTTCCTATAAACATGAGGCTCCAAAAATGAAAATTAACACCTCTTTTAAAATAAAATATTTACTACTAATTATTACGTTGTGTAAAATTTCAACGATCTGTAAAAAAGTCTTTGAGAGCTATACAATACATTTTTCGATTTTTTCTCACAACTCGGAGGAAAAGCATTTTTGGATCCATGTTTACAAGAACTTTTTTCTTATTTAGACCTCTAGAATACGTTCTTAAAATCTCTGAGGTTTAGAAACACCCTGTACAAAAAAATAGAAGAAGTAAAATAAAATTAAAATTGAAAATTAAAAAAATAAAATTAATTTTAAAATGCAACTTTTTGCATTTGTAGATTTATAAAATTTTACTTTGTTAAATTTTTTTATTTATCATAAAACACAGAAATAAAAAAATATACGTAAATGCTTTGCAACTTAGTGACAGGGAATTAAAAAATTGCAGTTTGTTGCATTTTTTAATTTGGAAATAAGATGTTTTATTAAAAGTTAACTCTATTTTACTATATTTGTCGCTTCTAAAGAAAGAGATGAATACGTTGAATGAAGAATGAATCTCGATTTAATTTTTGGAGCACTTTTCACGTAGAAAGGGGAGCGAGAAGAAAGAATGGGCGTGTCTCACTCTCAATCCCACGAGGGAAAAAAGCGCCGGGGATTGTCGAACAGAGACGTCTTTTGGAATTTCGCGCGATTCCACCGAGCTTCCACGTGCATAAGAAAACTTTTGGATGGCATCCAGAGGTTACAGATTTATCGCCGTGAAATATATATATAATGGTGCCATTGTATATGGCCGAGCGGTCACGATTGTTACTCATTGCCGGTGTTATAATTTTGAAACTGATGATTGGGGAGGATCATTGCGCATCGGTGAATTATTGTAAAACGCGAGAGAATAACTTTATGCGCTACGTGTTTAATGGAATTGCGGTTTTAACAATTGCGCATTTATATTTATATAACACAGATTATATTATATACATAAATCACAGATCGTTAATTATCTAAATGACTTGCGATTCATTATAGTGTACAGTAGAAAAATTTGTTTTCTCGTTAAAAATGGTCCCCATTAAATTTTTTGTGTTAAATATTTAATACATTCATGTGTTAATTTAACACATTACTGGTCTGTTAATTGAATTTAAATGTTAAATTATTAAAACAACTAAAAAAATGTACAAATAACACAATGTGCATCTAATTTTAATTTTACACAATAAATATGTACTGCTTTATTAGTGACAAGATTTATCTGTTAAAATTCACAGAAAAAAATGTTGATTTTCTATTTTATTAATATAAGTGGGGATGATAAAATCTATAAAATTAACATATTTTTTGTTAATTTTTACATTATAAATATACCATAGTTAAATACAGGCAATTAGATACACTAATGACGATGATAGGCGGCACGTTTTATATTTTCTAAATTGCCTAAGTAATTTAAATAATGTCACGCTCTATTATCTGTTTTTTTTCAAAAAGTTTATGAATTTTACACAAAATTTATTTTAAATTATTTAAAGTTTTGCATTCATTTTGTGTTAAAATATTAACACAATATTTGTGTCTCCATTTAACGACATATCCATATTATGTTGAATTAACACAAAAATTTCTGTTAAATTTAACAGAAATTTTTCAACTGTGTGTAGAAATAAAGATTTAAAAATAAATAAAAAAAATAATAAAGATGCGTTTGGGAATGACAAAATTTTGGAAAATATGATTGTGTGTTCACATGGCTTTTTCTTTAAAAAATCTGGAATAAAAAGAAAACTCTTTTATCTATTATTTTCATTAACTGATAGAATCGGTTTGCTTTTAATGAATGCAATCCACGCAAAAATGAGCGCGATGTTGCATTCTGAAAGATTTTTAGCAACATTCCGTGTGTTGATTTCGATATCCTTTCATTTATTCCTTATCGCGGTTAACATGCAAGAATTA